ATGTGAGGAAGAGTCCTGGCTCCATCATGAGTCATCCTCACCACGGGCTGTGCTTCCTCTTCTGTGACTCTCAGTCACTGCTCGCTAAAATTAATGCCCCGAGTGATGTCATCATCAAACGCCATCATCTGATCGCCGCCCATCAGCTCCTCCAGCTGCTGGATCCTCCAGGCTCAAAGGGAACTTGCTGTTTCTGCAGTTTTTCAGTTTTGTTGAAGTTTTGTTCCAGATCTGTGGAACATAGAAGTTGGATGTTTGAGTCCCTCTGCAGGAAGTCATCATGCTTCATGAGTAACATTTGAGTTTCTTCTGCAGGTTATCCTGGTGGGGGGGCTTAGTTGCTGACAGGTGGTCATCTGACTTACAGCTGTCCAGGTGAACGACTCAGAGCAGGAAAACCGTCATCGTCTGTTTCCATCTCTGCTGATCGGCGTTTCCACTCAGAGCCTGCAGGCCTCTCCATGCTGCTGCAGAGCCATCAGGCCACGCCCCCTTCCCTCTCTCTCTCCGCTCTCGCTCGGCCTCACCTACGCAGAGTGGTTCTGACCCGGTTTAGAGGGTTTGGCAGGGCGGCGTGTTTTCTGCTCTGTGGTTTAGGAGGAACGAGGCAAATGAACCTCCAGCGCGCCGAGTCATCAATCAGCACAAACTGTCACCTAAATCATGGGACGAGTCATCATGGGGGGCAGGCGGGGTGCGCGCCGCGTGTGTGTGTGTGTGGTGTGTGTGTGTGTGTGTGTGTGTGTGTGTGTGTGTCATCAGGGGAAGTAAATAAAAATCCTGCAGGGTGAGAATGTTTAGTATCAGGCTGCTCACTTTTTAGAGGTCACTTAGTTCAAACCAGAACCGGTTCTGGTATCAGTGGTTCTGGTGTCAGTGGTTCTGGTGTTGGTGGTTCTGGTGTCAGTGGTTCTGGTGTCGGTGGTTCTGGTGTTGGTGGTTCTGGTGTTGGTGGTTCTGGTGTCTGGTCTTAGAGCTTCTGGTGTTAGAGGTTCTGGTGTCAGTGGTTCTGGTGTCGGTGGTTCTGGTATTGGTGGTTCTGGTATTGGTGGTTCTGGTGTTGGTGGTTCTGGTGTCGGTGGTTCTGGTGTCAGTGGTTCTGGTGTCAGTGGTTCTGGTGTTGGTGGTTCTGGTGTCAGTGGTTCTGGTGTTGGTGGTTCTGGTGTTGGTGGTTCTGGTGTCAGTGGTTCTGGTGTCAGTGGTTCTGGTGTTGGTGGTTCTGGTGTCAGTGGTTCTGGTGTTGGTGGTTCTGATGTGGTGGTTCTGGTGTCGGTGGTTCTGGTGTTGGTGGTTCTGGTATTGGTGGTTCTGGTATTGGTGGTTCTGGTGTCGGTGGTTCTGGTGTCAGTGGTTCTGGTGTCGGTGGTTCTGGTGTTGGTGGTTCTGGTGTTGGTGGTTCTGATGTTGGTGGTTCTGGTGTTGGTGGTTCTGGTATTGGTGGTTCTGGTGTCGGTGGTTCTGGTGTCGGTGGTTCTGGTGTCGGTGGTTCTGGTCTTAGAGCTTCTGGTGTTAGAGGTTCTGGTGTCAGTGGTTCTGGTGTCGGTGGTTCTGGTGTCGGTGGTTCTGGTGTCGGTGGTTCTGGTGTCAGTGGTTCTGGTGTCGGTGGTTCTGGTGTCGGTGGTTCTGGTGTCGGTGGTTCTGGTGTCGGTGGTTCTGGTGTCGGTGGTTCTGGTGTCGGTGGTTCTGGTATTGGTGGTTCTGGTGTCGGTGGTTCTGGTATTGGTGGTTCTGGTGTTGGTGGTTCTGGTGTCGGTGGTTCTGGTATTGGTGGTTCTGGTGTCGGTGGTTCTGGTGTCGGTGGTTCTGGTGTCGGTGGTTCTGGTGTCAGTGGTTCTGGTGTCGGTGTTCTGGTGTCAGTGGTTCTGGTGTCGGTGGTTCTGGTGTCAGTGGTTCTGGTGTCAGTGGTTCTGGTGTCGGTGGTTCTGGTGTTGGTGGTTCTGGTGTTGGTGGTTCTGGTGTTGGTGGTTCTGGTGTTGGTGGTTCTGGTATTGGTGGTTCTGGTATCGGTGGTTCTGGTGTCGGTGGTTCTGGTGTCGGTGGTTCTGGTGTTGGTGGTTCTGGTGTCGGTGGTTCTGGTGTCGGTGGTTCTGGTATTGGTGGTTCTGGTGTCGGTGGTTCTGGTGTCGGTGGTTCTGGTGTCGGTGGTTCTGGTGTCGGTGGTTCTGGTGTTGGTGGTTCTGGTGTCGGTGGTTCTGGTGTCGGTGGTTCTGGTATTGGTGGTTCTGGTGTCGGTGGTTCTGGTGTTGGTGGTTCTGGTGTCAGTGGTTCTGGTGTCGGTGGTTCTGGTGTTGGTGGTTCTGGTGTCGGTGGTTCTGGTGTCGGTGGTTCTGGTATTGGTGGTTCTGGTGTCGGTGGTTCTGGTGTCGGTGGTTCTGGTGTCGGTGGTTCTGGTGTCGGTGGTTCTGGTATTGGTGGTTCTGGTATTGGTGGTTCTGGTGTCGGTGGTTCTGGTATTGGTGGTTCTGGTGTCGGTGGTTCTGGTATTGGTGGTTCTGGTGTCGGTGGTTCTGGTATTGGTGGTTCTGGTGTCGGTGGTTCTGGTATTGGTGGTTCTGGTATTGGTGGTTCTGGTATTGGTGGTTCTGGTGTCGGTGGTTCTGGTGTTGGTGGTTCTGGTGTTGGTGGTTCTGGTGTTGTGGTTCTGGTATTGGTGGTTCTGGTGTCGGTGGTTCTGGTGTTGGTGGTTCTGGTGTTGGTGGTTCTGGTATTGGTGGTTCTGGTGTCGGTGGTTCTGGTGTCGGTGGTTCTGGTATTGGTGGTTCTGGTGTCGGTGGTTCTGGTGTTGGTGGTTCTGGTGTTGGTGGTTCTGGTGTTGGTGGTTCTGGTATTGGTGGTTCTGAGATTTGGAAAAGATTAGTTTTTAATGTCTGGGCAGAAAGTCAGAGATTCACACAGAACCACAGGAACAAACTTAATGTGACCAAGAAACTGAATTTATTTGAACTTGAATCTCCAGAGACTCTCCTCCAAATGTTCTCTGCCATTTCAGTCGGTTCCATGAAGCCCAGGAGGTTCTGCCGGGCCTTGGGGTCGACTGGTTCCAGTAATCTGTCCTCAGCTGCCCTCTAACAGAAAAGGCATTTAATCTGAATTTTTGGTTCCATTTCAACAGAAAACGTCAAACAGCTGAGCAGTGCTGGACTTTGGAGCCTTAATTCCCAGTTTAGAAACGGTGACGTCACGGCCCCGTGGCCCCCAGGGGCCCCTGAACTGGTCTGGGCTCCAGCTGGCACGGCGCTGAGCAGTAAGAGCATTAAGGTCTTTAGGTGTTCCAGGCTGGAGAATTAAGACAGGAACTCACTGGGACAGAGCCGGCATGCAAGCGGGTTAGCTGTTAGCCGCTAGCTGTTAGCCACCAGCTGTTAGCCGCTAGCTGTGACATCACTGCAGCCAGGAATGTACTGGTCAAATAACTTTATAAATTCTTGAGGACTTTTCCCTCATTTATGTAAATATGTTGTTTAGATTCTACAATTATCCCTGTTGACGCTGCCATCTTTAAAGGGCTGGAAATGCCGGGTAGTGACGGAGGAAAAACAACACAGCCTTTAGCTTCATTTGGCCTGAGTGCAGTGCAGTGCTGTGCGGTGCAGCCTGTGGCCTTTTATTAACAGATTTCACACACCTGTGTAAATCCCCGCCCACAACAGGTAATCAGCAAGAACATCAACAAGATTCAACAATCCCACTAATAAAATAATTAACTATCAATCTAATTTTGTTAGCTGCAAAATATCATGTACATATATCTAAATTCTCAAATCAGAAACCTCACTTTTCAGCCTTCAAAGAGGAATTTAAACAATACAGTAAATCTGTCCCGTATTCCCGCAATAGAAAAGCCATTAAGACATAGATAGACGCTGAAACATCTTTCTGACGGAAGTTGTTGTTTAAATACGTTCTGATTTATTTGTGCTTGATTTAGGACTCCCTCGTATTCTTGTCTTGTCTGTTTTGTTATTTGCGTTGTTCATTTTGCTGGTTTGTAAACCCCTTTATTATACATAAAGAAAAAAAAGTTAACGAACTTTGTCTTCAAACGTTGCAACTTCCTGTTTGGCTGGCTCTTAGCCAATCGTCGGGCCTCATCCCGTAAACGGTGGCAGGTTTGCAGAACTACCTGACCACAGGACACCAACGAAGAAGAACTGTCCTCGCGCTCGGCAGCTTTCAAAACCGCCTGAAGCAACAAACCTGGTTTCAACACCTGCAGGTGAAACTCCGACCCGCCTCACACAAAAACCCGACAAGAATCAGGATTCACTGCAACCAGGCCTCAGACTCTGCAGCAGATTCAAACCTTTCCCACCCAGACGTCCATTGTTTGGTTTGCTGAGATCAGGATGTTCCTGACAGGCTCAGTCCCCCTGCAGGGGGCGACTCAGTCCCCCAGCAGGGGGCGACTCAGTCCCCCTGCTGGGGGCGGCTCAGTCCCCCTGCTGGGGGCGGCTCAGTCCCCCTGCTGGGGGCGGCTCAGTCCCCCAGCAGGGGGCGGCTCAGTCCCCCAGCAGGGGGGGCTCAGTCCCCCAGCAGGGGGCGGCTCAGTCCCCCAGCAGGGGGCGACTCAGTCCCCCTGCTGGGGGCGGCTCAGTCCCCAGCAGGGGGCGGCTCAGTCCCCCAGCAGGGGGCGGCTCAGTCCCCCAGCAGAGGGCGGCTCAGTCCCCCTGCTGGGGGCGGCTCAGTCCCCCAGCAGGGGGCGGCTCAGTCCCCAGCAGGGGGCGGCTCAGTCCCCCAGCAGGGGGCAGCTCAACTGTATGAACAGTTGAGCTGCCCCCTGCTTGGCTGCCAGTGTGCTGACTATCAATGCTACCTCATCAATCAATCAATCAATCAAATTTGATTTGTACACAGTAAAAAATGCGGGTTATTTTCATAACCCAACTTCTGGGTAAGAGATGCTGGGTCATATGTTGGGTTACTTTGACCCAATATTGGTTCAAAAGTAGTGACCCAGCGGTTGGGTTGACTTTTTTTTTTGTTTTAATGAACTCCACTTAACTGATTCTGTTAGGTTTCAGGTTCGGTTGACTCAACACTTTACCCAATTGGTTGGGTCAAATACAGTTCATATAAAAATCCATTGCCCTCTTCACAAACCTCCATTTTCAACTGGACTGTGACCTGATCAGACAACACTGGACTTCTCAATTCAAATAAAACATGGTAAGTTACAATATCATGGTATAATATTTTTAAAGTTAATAGGGTTATTGTATTCTTTATATACTACAGATCTTTTAAATTAAATTATGTAACTTTAATTGAATTATTGATTTAACCTATCATCTTCGTTGATAGGGTAATGTTTTTGAAATAATTAATTTAATTCATAGATAATTTATCCAATTTGTTTTTAAAAACAGGGTGAGGGTGTGGGAGGGAGAGATGGCGCTTTGCCCCTGGTTTTCGCTGGCCTCGTTCACTAGCGCGCGCAAAAGGTGGTAGCAGCTAGAATGCTAATAACGGATCTATAGCGACAAGGAGGGACTGGAGGCTTGCAGTAGCGGTGTCCGAAGCGATCAGTACAGAGTATACAGGTATTCATAGTAATATATCAGTAATATAACTGTTAAATGCCATTTTCATTAAGCCTTTTATTTCTTACTGAACACACTATGCTATACGGTTAACCTGGGTGAAACCGATTGAGGCAGTGGAGAAGAAAAAAACAGTATGCACCAGCAATGGCAGAGGAGGGGAAGCTAAAGTTGGATATTATGCTTTCTGTCAAATAAAAGTAACTTTTACAGATTTCTAGTGAAGATTTAACTATGTAACAATAAAATATCTACTCGATTTATTGAAATATCTCTTAATTTAAAAGTGCTCCAACATGTTTGGAGTCGTCCCCACGGTGTTCTGTCAGATCAGCACACTCTGCAATGGCATATGCTTAACACAAACTATTTATCTGTAGAACATCCGTGAGATCCTCAGTGCCTCCTCTGAAGGTAGACCTGTGGTTATCAGTCTAGATGGAAATCAGCATATGTCCATTCGTGAAAGACGAAGTGTTCTGACCACACAAGTGGTCAGAACACTTGTGTCACACCTGATGGATCAATATGGAGAAAAGTGAGTATTTCTTCTAAAACTAGATCAATTAGGTTGTTTTTGTGACATTTTGCTCTTGGTGAGAACATTAACGGCATTGTGCAGTGCTCACCTAAGTAAAATTTCTCCAGTAAGAAGTCTTAAAGTATGTGTTGGGCTAATAAAAACTGGATTTTTGGAAATTGTTTGTGTTTTAAGGTTTCTGCTCTATGTTTTCATCTTACAATAACTAATTAAAATAAAATATTTTACTTGCCTGTCTTACTGAATGTAATTTTTTTTGTTTCCAGCCCATCTTCAGACACTAAAGCAATTCTGGCATCTTCGATTGTGGACCAGTTTCCATGTTTAAGAGACAGCCATGGCACAGGATATGTAAGTTTTCACACTTCAGAGCACTAGCACACAAGTACTTCAACAACTTGCACAATGGTTAGCATTAAATATCATTGTAACTATGGTGTTTGATCTTTGAGTTGTAGGTTTAATAAAAATTTGGACATTAAAACAGAAAGGCTAACATTTAACTTTTATATTTCTTTTGTTAAAAATGTTCAGGACGCCTGGTTTACCCCCGGAAGACAACACAGGCCAGCAACTGCCTTTCTGGAGGAGCGTCTCCGTAATGTAAGGAAAAGGCATCAACCAAGGAAGAAGATGCTTTCAGCCCCAGAAGCTCCACCAAAAAGATTAAGTTTGCCTGGTACTAGCACATGGACTTTTTCCAAGCCCCTATTGTTTTGAGCAGCAATCTAAGCTCTTATCATTGCTGTGAATTACCTCACATTTTTTTTCTTTTAATTTCTGTAATACTTTTTCCCCACAGAACCAACCATCAGTGCTGAGCGTGCCATCCAGATGACAGAATGGCTGAAAAATAACTTTTGGCCCACAGACCAGGTTGTCCAATACATGCGGGAAACTGCAGTATATCGCGCAGGATGGATCCGCTCAAGTGGGACAATCCCAATGCAGCAGATTTTTGCAGAGTTGGACACACCAGGAATGGTGAGGTTATACCTCATATTGAGATCAGTTAAATGTTAAACAATAAACTGCAATATCATGTGTAAATGTACAATTACAATCAAACTCAAAATGTCAAACTACCCAGAACATAAATTTGTAGCACCCATGAAAGGTTGAATGTAATAGTTCATTTCACTTTTACATTTGATTTGTATTTTTTTCTTTTCTGATTGTTAGATTTTGCAGGACTTTGCCGTTTTATATCCACAATCTTGTGGAAAACTGACAGAGAACTGGAACACCTTGTTCTCATCAAAGGTCATTCGCATGGGGAAGAAGGAGGAGAGCGGTCTTCTGCCTGAGATTGAGTTGCTTCCACAAGGTATTGAAGCTCAAAAGGAACATTTTCTGAACTAATTTTTTCTCCTGTGGCTCTTTTTGATTGTGTAGCATTTTAATCTGAGTTTTTCGTTGACAGACAAACAAGGTGACGTGGCACTCCAGCTGCTGCCAAAACTCCTCCCTGCTGTTCCCTACAGAGTTGGGCGAAAGGTGGTCAGACCCAGCAACCTTGAAGTCCAGCAAGCCTTCATTGATGTCCAGCCAGTAAGTCTATCTTCATGTCAGAACGAATTCTTTGCTGTTTAAATGTAGTTGAAACCAGAAGTTTAAAACAAATATGCTTTTTTTCCTCACTGTTCTCCCTGTCATTAATCTTGAATTTACCATGTCCTAATTGACGTGAAATGAGAATTTTAATGTCATATAACACAAGACAGCGTTGACCAAAAATATGTCTTTTTATATAGTATATATAAACTTCAAACGCAAGGGTCTTTTGATAATGTATCAAACAAAAATCATATAAGAATTAGTCAAAAATGATTAGTTCCTCCTTACCTTTTAAATGACTAATGGCTTCCTTTCTGCTTTTTCCACACACCAGATTGGGACAAATATGGTGGAATATCTTGGAAGTACGGCAACAGAGCATCCACGTGTTCTCATGCTTGGGGACAGGTATTGTTGTTCCCAAGCATTTGTCGTCATAAATGGAACTGCTTTGGAATATCCATCTCTTTTGGGGGCTGTTGACGGCTGTTTCAAATCGTTCTTCGTTTTTGATATGAGTTATCCGAAGTCGTGTGTCCAGATTTGGGATTTTCTCCAAACTGTGATATAAAATCCCAGGAAAACGAGTCACCCCCGATAAAATTAATGAGGGCCCAGTTGGAGGCCATGGAAGAATAAAAGCAATTCTTCAATAACCCTTAAATAAGTTTTAAATGTTCTGATTGAAAACCTGCTGGATGTTTTGTTACTATGTTGCTATTTTTTTCACATTTCCTTCAAACTCTTTGATGAAAATATTTCTTTGTGTACACCAATAAAGTTAAAAAAGGGTGCAGATTTAATCAATTGTTTATATGTAACTTTTACGTCTGTATTAAAAATTTCATGTATGTTGGAATGTATAACATTTGCAAATAAAAGTTCTTTTGAGCTAATCTGAATGTTTTTAGTTCAATTTTTATAGTGAATTTTAAAATAGAAAAGGAAAAAAAATTTAAAATAAAAATATGGTGGTAAAATGACCCTTTTAATGGGTAATAAATTTCAACCCAATATTGAGTCATTTTAACTTTGAGCAGTGGTCAATTTAACCCAAGCTTTAGGTTGCAGCTATGACCCAATGTGCCTCAACCCAACCCAGTTGAGTTAAAACAACCCAGCGTTGGTCGGTCCATATATGACCCAGCGCTGGGTTACGTATTGGGTTATTTTTAACCCAGCAGTTTTTACTGTGTATAACACATTTCAGCAGCAAGACATTTCAAAGTGCTAAACATAAAAAACACAAAAACACAAATAAAATAAACAATACATGAAGTGAAGTTCCATCATTAAATTTATAATTGATTATGTTTCAGATTAAACCAAACAGCTGATTTCAGTCCAGAATCTCATCAGATTTTCCTACCGCAGCACGGATAGATAGCTGTCTATCTATCTGTGCTACCTGTCCAAAACTGCTTCCGCCATGTTTACCAACAAACTAGTGGCTTGTTAATGTTACATATATTGGATAACGTGATTTGAGGAACCTGAAGTGGAAGCTTAGCAGTTATGGTTAGCTTAGCATTGAACCATTTATATGATGATGAAACCAGAAGCAGATCTGAACATCCTACTGTTTGAAATGAAAAGCTGCAGATGCAGCTGATCCTTCACCATCATATCCACCTGTTAATATCTGATACAGAGTCGTTTGTTAGAATAAAACAGGATCAGATGAAAACAGGTTTTATTGGAATTAAATTAAAAACTAATCCAGATCACCGCAGATCTATTGTGTGCATAAATCTGTTGTTTGAGCGACTTTATTAAATGAAGCCACAACGTGTCACTGAACTGCACAGGTCACTGAAATCATGGGATATGATTCATATGCACTGATATTACAGGCTATTCAGTCCCACATAGTATTGCTACCATCTATTTAGCTACCGCCTCTAGTGGCGTGGGGAGGTCACACAACTAATATAATTACATTACTTAATCAGAATATCACAAAGTCTTTATTGTTTATTATTCATTTTTTATTTTCTTAAGGAAGTAGAGGTAATTAAATGAGATAAACAAAACCTCAAAGTGATTCCAGTTTCTCTCGATGGCCAACCTGTTGAAAACTGTAACAAATTTTAAATACTTTGGGTCGTTCCTGGACACTCAGCTCCACTTTGCAGAAAACTCTGACTATATTTTTAAGAAATGTTTACAGAGACCCAGTGATCTGTGGGTTACCCAACTAGAACTTGTGTAGAAAACAGTGTTGAGTTTGAACTTTTCATCTCCTCGGCTGGTTCCGTCTCATGAGCTGCAGATTAACAAGCTTTTAATGAAACTTTCAGTGGCAGGTAAAACAGCAGGTAAATGGTGGTGAAACCAGAACCAACTTTATCTCAACTGTTTGCTGAAAGATGATGGAAGATGCAGGAATATTTTAGCAGAGAGCATCCATCCTCTTTCTTCATCAGTTTGACCTCTGACCTCATGAAGCCGTCTCTGTTTTCCTCTGGTAATAACAATCTATTAGAAATCATTTATTGACAGGGCAATAATTATTCTTTACCAGCTAAATGATAACATTTACCTGCAGCTTGCTGAGTGTTTTACTATATTCACAAATTATTGATAATGTGATTCTATGAATAGGATTTATTGTTTTAGAGTCAAAGGAAAATTTCCATGTTGATAGACTAAATAGTTTCATCTTATTTGTTCCTATATATTAGACTCTACCAACAAAAAGTCTCTCAGAATAATATACATGGCAGCGTAAAAACAAAACTGTGAATTTTGGCTTGTATCTGTTTCAAATTTAGAAGAACACAGGAAGCTACAGAATCTGTGAAAACTGTGAGATAAAGTGAATAAAGAGAGAAGTTCAAATACTGAGAGTGAAAATCCTTCTTAAAGGTGAAATATATCAGATTTCACAGGAAAATAGAAACGGGAGACATGGATAATCTAGGAAATAGCGCCCCTTCACTTCCGGAGTGGAATGGTCCTGTTTCCATAAGGTCTGAGACTGACAGCAGTTCGTCGCCCTTCCTGTTAGCTGCAGTGAGGTGAACTTGAACTATGGGGGAGGCGGAGGGAAATCTTACCACAGGGTAGTCATGTTGTCTGAAGTCCTGATTCTAAGTCAATTTATGAATTAAACTTCTTGTAAATATCTGAAATATTAGTACTAATAATGAAGTATGAAGAACAGCAACAGGTTTATGAAGCGCTATAAGTTCCTCAGGACAGAAAGTAAATGACCGCATGGCATGCTAATGAAGCAGCACAGTGCTATGCTAGCGGCTATTGCTAAGTCGGTTCAGCTCAACTAAAAGATTGCAAAAACAAAATAATAGACTTGGAGAAACAAGTGGATTCCCTCTGCAAAGAGAACATGCAGTATAAAGAAGGAGTGCTGAACTGTGAAAGATATAAAACACGGTGGTTCAGTCAGAACATCCAGATGAAGTGGTGAATGAAGAGCCGATGTTGTCCAGAGTGGGTCGAAAGCTGCATCAGAGGGACAGACAGATCATCATCTGGAGGAGAACTAAAACTTCTCCCATGGAAATTTGAAAACTTCTTCCACTGAGAACCACTGAGAACCATTGGGAACCACTGAGAACCACTGGGAACCATTGGGAACCATTGGGAACCATTGGGTGGGGCCCCAGAAGATGCGGCTCTCAGGGGAACCAGAGTTGATTTCAAAGTTTTGGGATCAATAAAATATTTTTTGAATTTGAACGTTTTATGAATTAATTGCACGATGGACTTTTGAAATTCTTTATTTCTGTTATTGATTTTTTTCTTACGGTCAATGAAATCACAGAAAATTCCTGATGAAAGGTTTTTATGATCCAAAGCTGATTTTAATCTGACAGAGACTCATCTAGCAAAAATTAAAGTCAAATATAAAAATATATTAAAACTGAAACCCAATGCAGAAAGTATGTGAAATAAGAAAATCTATTATGAAACATAATGAAATATGTTCAGAATAGAAATAATATAAAACCTGAACATCAGAACCATAAAAAATAAAATGTTCTGAAAATTGAAAGTGTTAACTTTTTGCATATTTGCTGATGTCATATTTTATATTTCCAATTGAAATGATTTGGTGTTTATTAACATGAATCTGAGTTGATTTCAAACTAAAGAAATCAACTTTAGTTTGATTTCTTTAGTTTCAAACTAAAGAAAAGTTTCACCTTTAACCTTCCAGGGTTAAAGGTGAAAGGTCGCAGCTCGTCTCCAGGTGAACGCTGCCCTGCGGGTTTCCATCTGGTCGCCATGACGACGCCCGGCGAGGCGATGCTGAGGCCTTCGCTGTCTGCTGGGATTTACAGCTCAGATAAAGAGGCACCTTAAATGCATCCCGCTTCACTTCTGGCTCATCCGTTACGCAGACCTTTGACCTCTGAGTGTCTCTCTGCTGCCAGCGATAACGGAGCCAAATAAATCTGAGTCTCCAGAAGCCGAGGAGATGTTTCCTCCTGAACGGGACACACGGGGTCGCTCCTCCGCCTGGGGTCAGAGGTCATCTCCCTCCCTGCAGAGGAGGCAGAGACAAGACGGAGGACCGGAGGGACAGATCCAGACCAGGCAGGAAAACGTCTCTGACTCCGTCGTCCTCAGGTCCGGACGGCCGCCAGCGTTTCATCTTCATCTCCTGTCATCTGGAAGCAGAAAGCTGCCGTCTCATCCACACCGTTCTGCTCCGGCTCCTTGGTGACTTTCTGTTTCAGTCACTTCTGCTTCTCTGCTGACTTTGCTGATATTTTGACAGCAGGATGAAGAAGCTCGGCTGTTGTCTGCGCTTCCTCCAGCATGTTGCTGCGGCGTTCCTCAGGGTTCTGCCTGGCGCAACACTGCTGGTGGCCAGCAGGAGCTGAAGCTGAAATTGAATCTGGATCTGGATCTGAATCTGGATCTGGATCTGGATCTGCATCTGGATCTGGATCTGGATCTGGATCTGCATCTGGATCTGGATCTGGATCTGAATCTGGATCTGGATCTGCATCTGGATCTGGATCTGGATCTGAATCTGGATCTGGATCTGAATCTGGATCTGGATCTGAATCTGGATCTGGATCTGCATCTGGATCTGGGTCTGGATCTGAATTTGGATCTGGATCTGGATCTGGATCTGGATCTGGATCTGGATATGAATCTGGATCTGAATCTGGATCTGAATCTGGATCTGAATCTGGATCTGGATCTGGATCTGAATCTGGATCTGAATCTGGATCTGAATCTGGATCTGAATCTGAATCTGGATCTGGATCTGCATCTGGATCTGAGTCTGGATCTGAATCTGGATTATGGATCTGGATATGAATCTGGATCTGGATCTGGATATGAATCTGGATCTGAATCTGAATCTGAATCTGGATCTGGATCTGAATCTGGATCTGAATCTGGATCTGAATCTGAATCTGGATCTGAATCTGGATCTGAATCTGAATCTGGATCTGAATCTGGATCTGGATCTGAATCTGGATCTGGATCTGGATCTGCATCTGGATCTGGATCTGAATCTGGATCTGGATCTGGATCTGGATCTGAATCTGGATCTGGGTCTGGATCTGAATTTGGATCTGGATCTGGATCTGAATCTGGATCTGAGTCTGGATCTGAATCTGGATCTGCATCTGGATCTGCATCTGGATCTGGATCTGAATCTGGATCTGAATCTGGATCTGGATCTGGATCTGAATCTGGATCTGGATCTGGATCTGGATCTGAATCTGGATCTGGATCTGGATCTGGATCTGAATCTGGATCTGGATCTGCATCTGGATCTGGGTCTGGATCTGAATTTGGATCTGGATCTGGATCTGAATCTGGATCTGAGTCTGGATCTGAATCTGGATCTGGATCTGGATATGAATCTGAATCTGGATCTGAATCTGGATCTGAATCTGGATCTGAATCTGGATCTGAGTCTGAATCTGGATCTGAATCTGGATCTGAATCTGAATCTGGATCTGAATCTGGATCTGGATCTGAATCTGGATCTGGATCTGGATCTGAGTCTGAATCTGGATCTGGATCTGAATCTGAATCTGGATCGAATCTGGATCTGAATCTGAATCTGGATCTGAATCTGGATCTGAATCTGGATCTGAATCTGAATCTGGATCTGAATCTGGATCTGAATCTGGATCTGAGTCTGAATCTGGATCTGAATCTGGATCTGAATCTGAATCTGGATCTGAATCTGGATCTGGATCTGAATCTGGATCTGGATCTGAGTCTGAATCTGGATCTGAATCTGGATCTGAATCTGAATCTGGATCTGAATCTGGATCTGGATCTGGATCTGAATCTGGATCTGGATCTGCATCTGGATCTGGATCTGGATCTGAATCTGGATCTGGATCTGGGTCTGGATCTGAATTTGGATCTGGATCTGGATATGAATCTGGATCTGGGTCTGGATCTGAATTTGGATCTGGATCTGGATCTGAATCTGGATCTGAATCTGGATCTGGATCTGAATCTGGATCTGAATCTGGATCTGAATCTGGATCTGAATCTGGATCTGAGTCTGGATCTGAATCTGGATCTGGATCTGGATCTGAATCTGGATCTGGATCTGGATCTGAATCTGGATCTGAGTCTGGATCTGAATCTGGATCTGGATCTGGATATGAATCTGGATCTGAGTCTGGATCTGAATCTGGATCTGGATCTGGATCTGAATCTGGATCTGAGTCTGGATCTGAATCTGGATCTGGATCTGGATATGAATCTGGATCTGGATCTGGATCTGAATCTGGATCTGAATCTGAATCTGGATCTGGATCTGAATCTGGATCTGAATCTGAATCTGGATCTGAATCTGAATCTGAATCTGGATCTGAATCTGAATCTGGATCTGAATCTGGATCTGAATCTGGATCTGAATCTGGATCTGAATCTGGATCTGAGTCTGGATCTGGATCTGAATCTGGATCTGAGTCTGGATGCCGCTGAGCGGCCAGTAAGAACTCTGGTATGTTGTTGTCATGTGGGGATGTAGCTGCAACCGCATGTTGATTTAAAAGGAGGAACCGTTGACCACAGAAATGCAGCAGTGAGAAGGATCTGGATCTGGATCAGCGAGGCGCTGCTGCATGATGGACGACCTGCTTTCATCCGCCATTATTGAAGCTGCTGCGTTTTCATCAGCAGAAATCTGACGCTTCGCCTCATCTCTTCATTTCACATCCTTTCGTTCGTGCGGCTCATTCCAGAACGATCCTGGCGAAGCTCCACCCTGATGACGCTCCATCCCCAAACAGCTGACCCGGCTCTGGCGGTCCGACAGAACCGGCTGGGCCCTGACCCGGTGCTGCTTCCTTGTGCTCATAGAGAAGGAGTAGAGGAGAGGAGATGACCCCAGCCCAC